GTGCGGCCGCAGGAGGAGGGAGAGGAGCCGTCGGGGGCCCTGTGGCTCCCATCGCCCGTGGCCCCGGGGCACGGGGGCACCGTCCCCGCGGCGGAGGTGACCGTGGTCACCCCGTGGCACACGGAGGTGCCTGGCGGCGGCAGCAGCACCACAGCCATGGGAGGCGAGGAGGCTGCGCCGGGCACTGAGCATGGGACGCCTGCAGCATCTTCGGAAGAGGAGGAGGAGGAGGAGGAAGAGGAGGAGGAGGAGGAGCCGCCCGCTCCCTCCGCTGCAACCGTGGAGGGTTTCCTTGCAGCCGTGCCCGGAGAACCAGGTGGGACCCGCAGGGACGGCCTCAGCTCTCCCCACACCGGCAGCTCCGGGGTGATCCCCGTGGGGACCCCATTAGGGGACCCGGCGCCCAGCACCGCGGTGCCCCTGCCCGTCCTCCCCACCGAGCGGGCCAGCATCGGGGCGGGCGCCGCGGGTCCCCAAGGCACCGCCGTGGCCCTGGGGGCAGCGCTGGTGGCTGCGCTGTGGCCATAGGGACCGCCAGCACCTTTCCTTCACGCTGCGCTGCCCTCCGCCCGTCCCTCCGCGTCCCTCCGTGCTCCTCAGCTGGGTACGGGAAGGTCACAGCTCTGGGGGAGCACGCGTTTGTCAAACAAATCGGTCCGAGCTCCGCATGCACTTTAAACCTCTTCTACTTCTGTGAAGTGTTTTAATGACTCTTTCCATGAGAAGCCCCCTCCCAGAATAACCCCCCCCCAAAGGCGGCCCCGAGCCCTCCTCTTCACTAACCGTGGTACTAATAAAGGGAATTAAAAGCTTTCTAGAACAAGCACCTCGGCTTGCTCTTCCCTTCGTCCTCGCGCCCGCGGCCTCCCCACTGACGCACTAATCCCCCCATCCGCGGGTCCCTGAGGGGGGGTGATTGATGGAGGGGGACCCGGCTGCTTTGCACCCTCGCTGGGTGGAGGGAGCTGCATGGTGTGAGCGGGGGGGGGATTCCTGCAGAGCACCCTGAGATTGCTGCAGCCCCCCCCATCCCAGTCCTGTGTGTGGCCCCCCACCCATGGGGGCTGAGGTGGGTGAGCAGTGGGCGCATGAATGGCCACAGGCGGGTGTCACCCACTCAGGTCCCCGCTCTGGGATGCTCCCTGCTTCAGTGCCAGGCTCTTTTCCTGCTCATCCCATGGGACCATGCAGGTCCCGTGGCATGGATGGTGCTCCATGGTGGGAGGCCAGACCTCAGGGGATGGGGCGCCTTCGCCCTGGCTAGGAGAGATGCTCGCAAAGAGCCATCCGTGGGGTGTTAGAGCCCCACGTAACTCATCCTGCCCCATGCTGGGCATGAGCTGAGCGTCCTGAGGCACCCTGCGGGGAGGTGGCGGTGCCTGCGGGTGGGTGAGGGTGGAAGCATCACCCTCAGCACGGCTCCAAGCACCGAGCCAAGGACCGTGAAATGGGGCATCATCAGGCTGAGGGCGTCAAGGACTTTGAGTCTCTGCTCCACTGGCGCCGCTGCAGCCCCTTAATCACGCTCTTGAGCCGGGGCTAGGAGCACACGATGTGCCCCGGGAGCTTTAATGACCGTAACGGGCTGCTGGGGACATGAGATCAGCCCTGGCCAGGCTGAAGGTGACAAGAGGGACAGGCGAGAGGGACGGGCTGTGCCCGAGGGTTCCTCCTTTGCACGCTCCCTTCCCAAGGCACATGTGCTGCGTCACTGCAGGGGGAAGCAGGAGCCATCCCCGGGTGGCTGGAGCAGGCCAGGGGCTGGCACAGCCCCGAGCTCCTGCTGTGGAGGATGAGAGCATCCAGCTCACGTCCCCGTGCCCTGGGGGGAGGCCAAAGCCCCAGGTCCAGCCGGCTCCAAGCCAGCCGCATCCATGGACCAAGGGCAGCGTGGGGTGGCTCCAGGCTCTCCATGTGCCGAGCCTTGGTGCCTCCATAGCCAGAGCAGGGACGTGTGGGGAGCTGGAGGTGAGGAAGCTGCGTGTGCCTTGCAGGTGGCTGCATCCCCAACCCCTGCCTGAACGGAGGGACCTGCACGGAGGACGATGGCCCCGTCTCCTGCCTCTGCCTGCCCGGCTACGGAGGCACCAGCTGCGAAAGACGTGAGTGCCCAGGACCCACCATGGATGTGCCAGGCCCCTGCCCAGGTCCTGCTGAGCCTGGACACGTAAATGTGGGGAACTGAGGGGTTTGGGGGTCTCTGCTTGCTGCCGAGTGGGGCTCCATCACCCTGACCCTCTCCTTTCTCCCCTCCTCGCTCCCCACTGCGGCTCAGCACTGAGGCAGTGCAGCCCCGGCTGGGACAGCTTCCAGGGAGCCTGCTACAAGCACTTCTCCACCCGGAGGAGCTGGGAGGACGCAGAGGGACAGTGCAGGCATTACGGGGGACACCTGGCCACCATCCTGACCCCTGAGGAGCAGGACTTCATCAACGGTACGGACCCCACCGCATCCCCATCCGGAGCCCTGCCCATGGGGCCCTCGGCATCCCTCAGTGCTGGGCTTCAGAGATTGAAACCTTGAAGCTAAAGGAGAGCCAAGGGAGAGCAAAGGGAGCCAGGCTGGGGAAGGCAGAGGAAATGAAGGGTAAAGGAAGCAGCTGATGTGATGGATTGCCCAGAGTGTGGTTAGATGTTCACTTGGCTGATGGAGGATGGGTGGATGGATGGGGAGACACACACAGAATCATAGAATCGCAGACTGGTTTGGGTTAGAAGGGACCTTAAAGCTCAGCATGGACAGGCAGGAGCAGGCAGGGACAGGCAGGGACCAGCAGGGTCCTGGGCACACGGGGCTCTGCCGCCACCTCCCGTCCGGCCTTGTCCCCATGTCCCCAAGCGTCCCAGCACTGCCCCCCCTCACCCCCAGACCCCAAATCTCCCCATATTCAGCCTCCAGCTTCCTTGAGCCCCGTCCTGACGGCTGGTGCTGTGTGTGTGTGTGTTGTCTTGGCTGTACCTCGCTCAATACCCTCCTGCCCCCCCAGACCAGTACAGAGAATACCAGTGGATCGGCTTGAATGACCGGACCATAGAGGGGGATTTCCAGTGGTCCGACGGGAGCCCCTTGGTAAGTGGGGGGCCAGATGCCATGTGCCCCCCCCCCCCGGCACCTCATCATCCTTCCCCATCATCCTCCTCCTCCTCCATCGCTTGGGAAGGTGTCGGTGGGGTGGGTCCAGCACTGGGACCAGGCTTTGATTCCCCAAGAGCATCCTCAGGGGTGCCTGGATGGACCCCAAGGCCGTGCCAAGGGGCATGGAGCTGCCACCTCGCTCCTAACAGGGGTGTCATGGACAGGTTGGGGGGTGTTGGTGAGGCCCCCCCCCCCCCCAACCCTTCTGTGCCCCCCAGCTCTATGAGAACTGGCACCACGGGCAGCCCGACAGCTACTTCCTCAGTGGGGAGAACTGCGTGGTCATCGTGTGGCACGACGGGGGCCAGTGGAGCGACGTGCCCTGCAACTACCACCTCTCCTACACGTGCAAAATGGGGCTGGGTAAGCCGTGCCCCCCCTGTTCCCTTGCACTGGGCTGAGGGGGGGGGCTGCACCCCCAGAGCGGGGCTTTCCCACCGTGGCTGCGGTGCGGAACCAGCCCCTTGGGCTGCTTGGCTCGTTTGGGGGCTGTTTGCTGTGGTTTGGGGGTGCCCATCCCTGGTTGCCCCCCCCCCATACACACACAGTGCAGTGCGGGCCGCCCCCCGCCATCAGCAACGCCCGCGCCTTCGGCAAACCAAAGCAGCGCTACGAGATCGGCTCCACGGCGCGGTACCGCTGCCGCCCCGGCTTCCTGCCGCGCCGCTCGCCCCTGCTCCGGTGCCGGGAGGACGGGACATGGGACCCGCCGCAGCTCCTCTGCCGGCCCGGTGAGCTCCGCGCTCCCCCCCACTCCGCCCAGCGACTGCCTTCGGGGCTCCCCATTCACATCAATGTGTTCCGTGTCCCCCCCCCCAACTCCCCAGGCCTGGCTCAGCCCCCCGATGACTGAGAGGGACCCCGGGGATGAAGCCGCCACCTCGCGGGGCCCTGGCACTGGTGCGGATGGGGATGGCGCTGGGACAGCGGCGCGGAGCCAGCGTGGCACAAACGGGGCTCCCCTCCTCCTTGGTTTTGTATCTGCACAAAGAAACCCCCATAACTAAAGATCCCCTGGAAAGGACCCGACCGCGACCCGAAACGGGAACGAGGGTTTGGTTTGTTCCTGGGGGCACAACAGAGGTGGGGACCAGGGGCAAAGGCTGGCACCGACGTGCCGGTGTCACCACCAGCTTTCTCCCACCTCTGGCCCAAGGGGCCTCATCCTGTGACACCCTCGTGGATGGGATCCTGTGGTGGTTGAGCTCTTCCCCACAGCGATGTCCCCAGGGACCACGCAAACAGGGAGGCAAAGCCCAATGTGGGATGCTGTGAGCAGCAAACACTTGGGACGTGTGGGCTCGGATGCTGAGGGATGCTGGCATCGCCCCACACGGTTTTTCCCCCTGTACCACGCCAACTCCGGTGCTTTTTATAGCTCTTTATAGCAGCAGAACTCAGCAAGCCCCGGAGTGTGGTGCCAGGAGCAGCGATAACCCCTGCGACAGCGTAGCGTCGTCCCCTGATGGAGGTGGAAAATCCTCACCAAATTCCCCTCTCCCAGAGGCAGCAGCCAGGCGGGAGCGTGGCTTTGCCATACAGCTTTAAGTGCTTTATTAATCGAGCGGGTGAAACTCCATTAGTCACACAGGGTAATGCCAACCCCTCCAGAGTCCTCCTGGCTGTGGGAAGGGAGGACAGGGTGAGGGATGCACTGGGGTTGGGGGAAAGGGTGCTGGATGAGACCCCCTTCCTAGCCCAGCAATGGGTTTGGCTTCTCCAGCAAGCCCTGAGCAGCCAGCGAGCAGCTCCATCGGAGGATGCACCAAGTGCCCAAACCCAGCCCTATTGCTCCATCAGGGGATGTAGGAACCACCCGAAATCACCAGGAGACCCCTGCTTCATGCCCTGCCCCCCGGGGGCTGCTATCCCACCGCATTCCCACCTCTCCTCCCGGCGCTCCTACTCCTCCACGAAGCAGTAGGTGCCGTAGATGCGCCGGTCCTTGCTGGGGAAGCCGAAGCTGTGGACACCGGGATGCGGGAGCCCCCCGCAGCGCTGGCGGGGGGTGGTGATGGGGAACCTCACGCTGCCGTCCTCCAGCCACCCTCCATCGCAGCGGTCCAGCTGGGAGAACTTCCATGCGGAGTAGAGCTGCCCCACTTTGGCCATGGCGGCCCCGTGGTCGTGGCACGCTTGCGCCGCCTCCCTGAAGTTCAGGTGGCCCCGGATGAAGTAGACGTGGCCTGGGGATGGAGGGGGGAACGTGGCAAGTGAAGGAGGCACCACCGGTGGTGGGATGCACGGCCCCATCCCTCATACCTCCTGCACCTTAGGCAGGAGCTCTTCCCTGTGAGGGTGGTGGGAAGCTGCGGCTGCCCCATCCCTGGGAGTGCGCAAGGGCAGGCTGGACACAGGGGCTTGGAGCACCCTGCTCTGATGGAAGGGGTCCCTCTCTGTGGCTTTAGATGAGCTTTAAGGTCCCTTCCAACGCAACCCATTCTACAGTGCAGGCCTAGGTGGGCACCGGGGTGAGATGGGAGGGACAGGGGACCCCAGCACTACCTTGCAGAGCAGAAGTGAAGCAGAAAGCGTCGAACCGGTCCTTCTGCTTGTCTCTGGCCCCATAGCTGCGGACCCCGGGCAGGAGGAGGCGGCCGCCGCACGGCTCCCGCGAGTTGATGATGGGGTAATGGACGGTCCCATCGAGGACCCAGCCAGCATTGCACCAATCCAGCCCCTCCGTCCAGGCTGCAGGGTGCGAGGCGGCTCAGCACCGTCCCAGTGCCCAGGGAGGAGCGTTTTGGGGCGGGTGAAGGGGGTTTCGGGGATGCTTCACCTTTGTAGAGCTGCTGGTAGGTGGCGAGGCGGGAGTCCTGCTGCTCGCAGGCTCGTTTCGCATCCTGGTAGTTCAGTTTGTAGCGCCCGCTGCTGGGCTGGTAGGGGAAGACGATGCCTGGGGGGACAGGGGCAGAGGTTGAAACCCCCCCTCAGAGCGAGGGCAGTGGGGCCTGGAGGGGATCCTGCCCCTCTGCTCTGCTCTGGGAGGCCCCCTTGCAGCACTGGGTGCAGCTCTGGTGGCCCCAGAACCAGGACACGGAGCTGTTGGGTCACATCCGGATGAGCAGGGGCTGGAGCAGCTCCCATAGGAGCCAGGCTGAGAACATTGGGGCTGCTCAGCCTGGAGAAGAGAAGGTTCTGGGGGAGACCTCAGAGCAGCTTCCAGTGTCTGAAGGGGGGCTACAAGGATGCTGGAGAGGGACCTTCTTCAGGGACTGGAGCCATAGGAGAAGGGGTGATGGGTTCAGACTGAACCAGGGATCTTAGGCAGAAGCCCTTTACCATGAGGGTGCTGAGGCGCTGGCACAGGGTGCCCAGAGAAGCTGTGGCTGCCCCATCCGTGCAGTGCTCAAGGCCAGGCTGGACACAGGGGCTTGGAGCACCCTGCTCTAATGGAAGGTGTCCCTGCCCGTGCCAGGGGGTCGGAACTGGATGATCTCAAGGTCCTTTCCAACCCAACCCAGTCTGGGATTCCATGTGGAGGAGCTGCTCCCCTAAAACCCCTTTGCTTTAGCATCCCCAAAGACTCAGTGCTGGGCGATGGGGCTTCGCTGCGCACCCAAGCACCCAGCCACGGCCCAATCCAGCCCAGGCACGCAGGGGACGAGCCCATCCTCACCCTCGAGGTGCAGCGTGAGCGAGACGCTCTCGTCCTCCAGCCCATTGACGAGCTGGCAGCGGTACCGGCCCTCGTCCTCCAGCGCCACGCGGCTGATGGTCAGCGAGGCGTCGTAGCGGTGGCTGTGGCGCAGGCGCACGCGGGGGCTCAGGGGCCCGTAGTTCCTGTGGTAGAGCCCGTTGGTGATGATGATGACGCTCTCGCCGTAGTTGGCCGGCTCCACCTTGCTCCACTTGACGCGGTAGTTGCGGGGCAGCGCCCGCAGGACGCAGGGCAGCGTGGCCGTGGCGCCGCGCCGCGTGTGCACCGCGCTGTGCAGGGGCTCCAGCAGGTACTGCAGCTGGGGGGGGGCTGCGGGGCACCCGCCACGGGGTCACCAGAGAGCTCCGATGCTGTCCCACCACCCTCCAGCCCTCACTGGCTTCTCCGGACTGGTTTCCATCACCATCCATCACCCTGCATCCCTCATCAGCATATCCAGCCTGGTTTCCATCACCATCCACCACCCTCCAACCCTCATTGGCATCTTCAGACTGGTTTCCATCACCATCCACCACCCTCCAACCCTCATTGGCATCTTCAGACTGGTTTCCATCACCATCCATCACCCTGCATCCCTCATCAGCATATCCACCCTGGTTTCCACCACCATCCACCACCCTCCAACCCTCATTGGCATCTCCAGCCTGGTTTCCATCACCCTCCAACCCTCATTGGCACCTCCAGCCTGGTTTCCATTACCCTCCAACCCTCATTGGCATCTCCAGCCTGGTTTCCATCACCCTCCAACCCTCATTGGCATCTCCAGCCTGGTTTCCATCACCCTCCAACCCTCATTGGCACCTCCAGTCTGGTTTCCATCACCCTCCAACCCTCATTGGCATCTCCAGCCTGGTTTCCGTCACCCATCCACCACCCTCATTGGCATCTCCAGCCTGGTTTCCATCACCATCCACCACCCTCCAGCTCTCATTGGCATCTCCAGATTGGTTTCCATCACCCATCCTGCCTCCTTCCCCACCTCTTTGCACAGATCAGCCCCTGCCCTTGGCTGGACCCCCCCTCCCCACCACTACCTCCCTCCTCTAGCACTGACCCCAACCAGCAGTGCCTCTCAGCTCCATACCCGGGGTCCCAGTTGAACTCTGGAAGATGCTCAATGCTGGGGGTACCACCAAGAGCCAGAGGGAGCTGAGCAGGAGAAGCTGGGGCATCCTCAGAGCTGGGGGCAGGACGGTGCCTGGGGGGAGCACAGCGGCCGGGGATGAGGTGGTCGATAAAGCCAGAGGGAAGGATTGGGACCCAGGACATGCTGGAGAGCTGGGACTGTGCGAACCCCATGGAGTTCAGCAAGGCCAAGGGCAAGGTCCTGCTTCTCCATTGGGGTCTCACCCACATTTACTGTGCCAAGGGGACGCAGGATGTGCCAACCCCTCTATCCATCCCCTCTTACCGTCCCCAGCCGTGTCCTTTGGGAAGCCGCCGTTCCCATCCAGCGCCCGTCCTGCCGCGGCCCCGCTCCGTCACAGCCGCCCCATGGCGGGGCTGAGGGCTCTGCGAAGGTCAAGAGGGAAAAGAGGACGCAGGGACGCAGGGATGGGTGCCCCCTCACCACCCCGGCGTGGGCAGTGCCCCTGCAGCGCGGTGCCCCTGCGGCCCCATGGCCGTGCCCGCGCTCCTGGACCTGTCTCCGTCTCTTCCCACTTTCTTGTCCGGTTTCCCCCCCCCTCCAACACCTCCCCGAGGGACGCAGGGGAGGAGGAAGCACAATTTCCCATTGTGAGCATCTTTCTCTGTATTGTTCTGCTCGGCAAAACACAGCGCGCCCGGGTAACAAACATCCCTTTATGTGCCGGCCACAGCACCGGGAATGCCAGCACCACCCCGGGCTCCAGCACCCCTGGGACTGGCAAAGCCTCCCCTCAGCACCAGCACCCAGGGCCGGAGGGTGCTGCCTGCTCCTGCAGGAATCAGGGCTGTGGGCATTCATGTGGCAAGTCTCTGATAGGGGGGATGCTGCTCCCATCCTGTGGAGCTCCCATGGGATGCGGAAGGGGGGTCCCAGCACTCCTGCTCCCCACCAGCCCTGACAAGAGGCATCCGAGAGGCTTCCCCATCCTCATCTTGTGGCCGGGATGCTGCCGGGAAGAGGACCCGGGTGCACAATGGGGGCTGTGTTCTGGGCTCCCTTATCCCCTCCCTCCGCCAGGATCCATCTCCAGGGCTGGAGGAAGCTCTCCTCCGAGGACACACAAGACAAGCAGCGTCTGTCCCCAGCACCAAGGGACCCAGTGACCCCGGCTTCACCACGGCCCGGGGAGCAGCAGTGCGGGGTGCGCTGCTTCCCGGCCCCCTCCTCCCAGCTCCCAACCCCTCCATCCCCATTCCCACGGCTGCGAGAGCAGATCCTGATGGATCTGTTCAGGGCTCCTTGGCTGGAGGATGCTGGGTCCCAGCCCCACGGCACCACCACGAGCGGAGGCTCCGGCCCCAGCCCTCCAGGAGTGACTCATTCCCGTTCCCCATCCCGTTGGCGTCAGGGCACGACCCCAGCCCCACGCCGCTCCTCTGAGCTCCCCCCTTGGCCTGGCGCTGTGGCAAGGGGGCACCCGAGGCCCTTCCCAGCCTCCATCTCCCCCATCCCACCCCGAACCCCCCTGCTCCCCCCATGCCCGACCTCGGCAAGGCTGAGCCCTGGGGCACCCCCAGGCACAGCTCCCCCCTGCACCCCCTCCCCACGCCGCCCCTCGCACCCAGCCCCGGCAGCCCCCGGCTCAGCGTCCGGATGGGGCGCACCCGGTGCCGGGGTTTCCGTGTCGGCAGCTCCAGGCGTGGGAAGCACCGGGGCAGGGCAGGGCCCGGCAGCCGCAATCACAGGCGGGGTTTGAGGCCCCAGCCCCGTTCCTCTTCCTCTGGATCTGGGGGGGGGGGGGGGTCCTGCCCCACACCATGGCCGAGCCCGGCGCCACCTCCAGGCTCCGGCTCTCCGGGCTCTGCTTCCTCCTCCAAACCTTCACCATCCTCCTCTTCGCTGCCTTTGTGCGCTTCAGCCCCGAGAGCGGCCCCGGGCTCTGCTCCCAGCCCCTCAACTGCAGCCGCAGGATCCAGGATTGGGGATCGCAGCCCCCCCGTGAGTACCCCGGCCCCGGCTCCCTCTGCCCCAGCTCTGCAGCGGGCTCCAGGGCTGTGGGGCCGGCGCATCCTATCCAGGTGGGGTCGGGGTTTGGGGGGGGGAAGCAGGCACATTGCAAGGGATTCCTGCACGTGGGACAAAGCCAGGCTCAAACCGGGGAGGTTTCATAGGGTCATGGGATGGTTTGGGTGGGAAGGGAGCTTAAAGCTCCGCCAGCTCCAACCCCTTCCGCTGGAGCAGCTTGCTCCAAGCCCCTGTGTCCAACCTGGCCTTGAGCACTGCCAGGGATGGGGCAGCCGAGCATCCCATGGACGTGCTGGATTTTGCAGTGCCCAACCCCTCCTTTCGCAGAGGATTTGGCTCCTTTGGTCCAGCCCACCAGGAGCATCCTCCTGCACAGCTCACCCTGAGCTGGGGAATGAGGGGCTGATCCCGGCTTTCTGAGGAAAGGGTTGGAGAGGTACCGAGGGAGGGGAATGGGGAAGAGCAGGGGGAGGAGCAGGGGCAGGAACAGGAACAGGAGCAGGAGCAGGGGCAGAGGCAGGGGAAGGAACAAGATCAGGAGCAGGAACAGGAGCAGGAGCATGGGCAGGGGCAGGGGCAGGAACAGGATCAGGATCAGGATCAGGACCAGGAGGAGGAGCAAGGGCAGGAGCAGGAGCGGGAGCAGGGGCAGGAGCAGGAGAAGGAACAAGATCAGGGGCAGGAGCAGGAGCAGGGGCAGGAGCAGGGGCAGGGGCAGGAACAGGAACAGGACCAGGCAGGTTCCCCCGGTTTCTCCCCACCCCACACAGTGACTCACGGCTCCGGCACAGGGCAGGGATGGGACAGAGCTCCCAGCAGAGCCCAGGGGTGCAAAGGGCATGGAAGCCCAAGGCAGAAGCAGGCTCCCCCCTTTGCACCAGCAGCTGCTGGGGCTGGGTGCGAGGGGCAGCGTGGGAAGGGGGTGCAGGGGGGAGCTGCCCCACCTTCACCCTGCTGCAATGAGGTGCTGATGGCTCTCAGACACCCCAAGAGGTCTCGGGGCTGCAGGGGGAGCCCGTTGTGATGGAGGTGACCCAGAGCCACTGCAAAGGGTGCCAGGGGACAGCTTTACCCCCCCCACCAGCCCAACCTGAGGGGCTCAGCTGAAGCCTTCGGGTCCCCAACGCCTGTTAGAACAGGGGGTGCCTGAACCCCTTCATGGGGACGGACCCTGCTGCCTCCAGCCCCATCCCGCTGCCTCTCCTCCTCCAGGGTTCCGGGATGCCCACATCCAAACTCTCCTCGGCTTTGGGTTCCTGGTGGCCTTCCTCAGCCGTTATGGACCGGGCAGCGCGGCCATCAGCATCCTGGTGGTGGCCTTTGCCATCCAATGGGCTCTGCTGCTCCAGGGCTTCCTGCACCAGTTCCGGAATGGCAAGATCCACCTGGGAGCTCAGAGGTGAGCCTGCTGTGTCCCGGTTCCTCCAGCATCCCTGCTCCAGCCCTGGCACACGAGCTCCCTCCTCTGTGCAGCTCGAGCTCTGCTCCGGAGCGGGATGAGGAGGGTTTCCGTGGGCGCTGGGTACCACTTTGTCATCAGCACCGCAAGGCTCGCGCTGCCCCTTGGAGCAGTGGGATGCGGGCGCTATGCTGTGGGCTCAGCTCCCCCCCCCCCCCCCAGCCCCACATCTTCCTCCTTGTGCTTCCCAGCATGGTCCGTGCTGACTTTGGAGCTGCAGCCGCCCTCATCTCCACCGGAGCTGTGTTGGGAAGGGTGAATCCAGTGCAGACGCTGCTGCTGACCCTGCTGGGAGTCACCCTCTTCACCCTCAATGAGTACACCCTGCTCACCCTCCTGGGGGTGAGTCACTGCCTATGGGGACAAGCCCTGCCTTGCCTAAAGGGACAAGCCCTGCCTTGCCTATGGAGCCAATCCCCCTTCCTGCACGGTGCTTGCTGTGCTCAGCAGGTGAGCGACAGCGGCGGCTCCGTCACCGTCCACGCCTTCGGAGCTTACTTTGGCTTGCTGGTATCCCGGCTCCTGCGCCAGCCCCATGGCGAGCAGCGGGAAGAGCAGCAGGACACGGGGCACCAGCCGGACGTCTTCGTCGTGGTCGGTACGGAGCTCGAGCTCGGAGCACGTGGCGGTGGCAGGACCATGAGGACAGCGTGGCTTTGAGCGAGAGTCCTGCAAACCAGCAAGGGCAGAGGCTCTCCCCCTCCCTGGGGCTGCATCACCCTCTCCAGGACCAAGCTGTGCCCCGTTGGCCAGCCTGAAGCTCCCATGCTGCGAGCTGAGGCCGCTCGCATCTCTTGACGCCGGCGAGAAGCCTGCATCAACCCCAAGGTCCAAACCTGCTTCTTCCCCTTGCTCACAGGAACCATCTCCCTGTGGATCTTCTGGCCCGGCTTCACCTCCGCCACCACTGCCCATGGCAGCGCTGAGCCCTGGGCAGTGCTCAACACCTACCTCTCGATGGCAGCGAGCACCATGGCCACCTTCGTCCTCTCGCCTGTCCTCTACGAGCAGAGCACCCTGCGCATGGTGGGTCCTCTCCTGACACAAACCCAAGTCCATGAGCATGAGCACACCCAGGGCACACGGGCGTATTCACCCCTTAGGCTTCCCCAAGTTTGAAGCCCCAGGAAGGCCCAAATCCCCCCAGCCCCACGCTGATGTCCTCCACAATCCATTCCCCTGCCCGCATCCTGCTCCATCAGGTTCAGATCCAGGATGCCGCCGTGGCTGCTGTGGCCGTGATGGGCATGGCTGGGGAGATGCTGGTCACCCCCTTCGGGGCGCTCATCGCAGGCTTCCTGGCTGGTCTCATCCCTCCGCTTGGCTTCAGGTTCCTCACGGTGAGCGGCCTTGGGAGCACCCAGGACACCGGTGCCAGGGCAGGGACCCAGCATCCCCCCAGCTGAGTCCCGGCTCTTCTCTGTGCTCTCCGCAGCCCTTCCTGCGTTCCAGGCTCAAAATCCAGGACACGTGTGGGGTTCACAACGTCCATGGGCTGCCCGGGGTGCTGGGCGCCTTGCTGGGCACGCTGCTGGCAGCACTGGCCACTGCAGATGCCTATGGTGGCAGGTGAGGAGGGCCAGGACAGCAGAGAACCAGATCATGGTGGGTTGTGTCGGAAAGGACCTGAAAGCTGCTCCAGCTCCCACCCCACGGGCTGGGACACCTTCCACTGGAGCAGGGTGCTCCGACCTGGCCGTGAGCACTGCCAGGGATGGGGCATCCAAACCTTCTCCATCCAACCCATCCCAGCGTCCCAGCACCCTCCCAGGGAAGAGCTTCTGCCTCACACCCCATCTCCATCCCCCCTCGGGCAGGTTAAAGCCCTTCCCCTCGTCCTGCCCCTCCATCCCTTGTCCCAGGCCCCTCTCCAGGCTCCAGCCCTGCTCTGGGGTCTCCCCGGAGCCTTCCCCTCTCCAGGCTGCCCCAGCCCCGCTCCCTCAGCTCCCCAATTCCCCCTTCCCTGGTGCCCAGGCTGGAGCCCGTGTTCCCGCTGCTGGCCCGGGGCAGCCGGACCCGCACGGGGCAGGCTCTGCTCCAGCTCAGCGCCCTGCTGCTCTCGCTGCTGCTGGCCGCGCTCGGGGGCTGCCTCACGGGTGAGTTGTACCTGGGGGGGCCGGGGAGGGGGCCCCGGGGCTGCGCTCGGTGCTGCCGCTAGATGTCAGAGCAAGCCCGGGCAGAGGAGCCGGGCCGGGGCCGCTCCCCGCCGGGCTCAGGAGCGCGGCTTTCGGCATCCTCAGGAGCCGTCCTGCGGATGAAAGGGCTGAGAAGCGCCGCGGCCAACCGGTACCTGCAGGGCACGGAGGTAAAGCTGGGAGAGGACGGGGTCCTGCGGGGGGGTTGCAGCAGCATCCGGGGTGCGGGAGCTTCGTGAAGCATCCCCCAGGTCCCTCCCGTCCCGTCCTGGGCTGCTCAGAGCAGGGCCCCTTTTCCTCCGTGCCTCTCCTCGGTGCAGGTGGATGAGGAGGGATGTGAGCGCGGAAAGGAGCCGGGCACCAGCACCTTGGTCTAATGAGGTCCAGCACCAGCGGTTGAACCCTCTGCCGGCATCGCCAGGGATGGGCGGCTTCTGCCAGCCTGGATTCCCCAATGGGCTGCTCCGGAGCCAGGATGCTTGTCCCGATGTGGGAGCCAGCTCCGGGTCCTGTCCTGGGCGCAGTCGGGTGCCCCACAGGCCTTTGCAGGGTGAAGAGATGCTGCGGGGATCGGGGTGCTGCTGTGGGAGCGATCAGAGTGTTCCAGGGACACCTCGGCCGCTTCCCCTCTCTGCTTTGTGCCTCGGTTTCCCCATCTACTGCTCTGCAAGGAGAGGAAGGCGATGGCAGGGGCTGTGCTGGGGTACCCGGCCCCACAGAAAAGGCTTCCTATGGACACTTCTGCATACAGCATTAAAACAGGTTTTGTGGCTTCAGGATTTGCCCGCATTGCCCCACAGAGCAAATCCAAACCTTCTCCCCCTGAGACCACGCAAACCGGAGATGCTTTGGTGCCACTGAAGTCCCATGCCAAAACAGAGGCCCACACGGTGCCATCCTGCTACCACCGTAGGCACTGGGCAGGGTTCTGTGTGCAGAGTCCCCATGGCACACACGGCTCCATGGGGCAGAGGAGGGATGCGAGAGGGAGCTCTACAAAGGGGGTGCCAGGCTCACGGTCACCCCCAGCCCCACACCACCTCCTCCAACCTTCCCCCCCCCCAGCCCTCCCCTTGCCCATCTCCTCCCAGCACATCCCAAAAGCACCCCACTGCGACGGGCAGAAAAGCCCCTCCAGTGGGATCATGGCGAGACCCCAGCCCCAGGGCTCGGGGATGAAATGGACCTCGCTCCTCCTCCTCCTCCCTGCGCCCATCCCCGGCCCCTCTGTTCTGCAATGGGATTAGGGCAGCCTTGGGCCCTCCCAGTGCTCCCATTGCCCAGCAGACCCCAGTTTGCTCTCCCAGCGAGCCGAGAGCTGAGGTGGGTGCCGATGGCGCGAGCCTGGAGGGTTCAGTCAGCGAACAAATTGCTTCTCTGTGGGGGCCGTTTTCCTCCTAGGTTGAGCAGAATGATGGCAGTTTGGGGAACAGATGGTGCAGCTAAAGCAGATAATCCCAGTGGCCCCACCAGCGCTGCCCGCAGCCCGGCCCGGCACACGCTGGGTCATGGTGGTGCCTGGGTGGTGATGGCAGCCCAGGAGGAGCTTGGGTGAGAAGCCGACCTTTGAGCTTCTCCTGCTTCAAGGGGAGGGGGAGGTTTGGGTGCCAGGCCCTGCTCCTGCCTCAGTTTCCCCCCTTTTCCCAGCAGGATTTAGCCTCAGATCACAGCCTGATGTGGGGAGATGGCCCAGGAGGCAGTCCCTGATGGGGGGCCCTCACCAGCATCCTTGTAGCCCCCTGCAGACACTGGAGCTGCTCTGAGGTCTCCCCCAGAACCTTCTCTTTTCCAGGCTGAACAGCCCCAGTGCTCCCAGCCTGGCTCCTATGGGAGCTGCTCCAGCCCCTGCTCATCCGGATGGGATCCAACAGCTCCATGTCCTGCTGCTGAGGGCACCAGAGCTGCACCCAGTGCTGCAGGGGGGCCGAGCAGAGCAGAGCAGAGGGGCAGGATCCCCTCCAGGACCACGCTAAAGCTCATTTTAGCCCCATTTTCCTCTTTTGCTTCCCTCTCCACCAAGAAAGAGGTGAAATGTTCAGTATTTAAGAGGTGGAAAGGGCTGGAGAGCCCATTCCGCCCGCTCCCAAGGGCTGGGTTCGGGTTCTGGTTGCGTCAGGCTCAGGGATGCCTGCGGAACAAGTCCTTATTGCAAACACATCAGCAGGAAAAGCAGGATGGGGCAGGGGAGGGCACAGCCACCCCTGCATGGAGCCAGCGCTGCCTGCGCCAGGGAGCCCTTCCCCGCGCTGCAGGACCCGCTCCGGATGCTCCCCACCGCATCCCTGCTTCCAGGGCTTCATTTAACTCCCGTTCCCCCTTGGCAGCCTGGTCCCCGGAGAGCCCCGGCTCTAACAGCTCCCTTTGGCCTCTCCCGTGGCAGCCCAGCTGCCAAGAGACCTGCTTAAATCACCTCCTGCTAACGCAGGAGCTCAATCAGCTGCTCCAAGGGGGGGTTTGCAAGGCAGAGCCATCACAGCATCTCCCTGGTGCAGCTGGGGAAAGTAAAGCCCACAAAGAGGTGCCTGGGAGTCCATTGGAATTAGAGGCAGGACAAAGGCTGGGCTCTCCCAGCTCCCGGCGTACGTGTCCTTACACATCCCTCAGGAACAGCTGATGCTGGTGCTGTTGATAGGGAGCCCACTAATCATCTTTGCCACCTTCCGGAGGGTGTGAATCGTTATCCCAGTGACACCTGGAAAGCTCCTGTCAGACGAGGCTGGTGCACACACGTCTAATAATGGGCGCCATATGGGAGAGGGAAGGCTCAGGAGAGGGGAAGGGGCCCAGCCGGCTCCGTGCCAAACAAAGAGCAGCACCCAATGGCTCCCCATCACCAGCACCGTCGGGAAGAGCAGCACTGAGCCATGGCAGAGCCGGCGGGGAGGAAGAGCCGCTGCTTGTGGCACTGAACAGGGAATCATGGAATGGGTTGGGAGGGAACTTAGAGCAAACCCAGCTCCAACCCCTGCCACGGGCAGGGACCCCTTCCACTAGAGCAGACTGCTCCAAGCCCCATCCAACCTGGCCTACTCATTGCTACTCCCTGCCCTTTGGTCTTTTACATCCCAGGGTGGTTCCCAACCACAAACATCTCCACAGGCTTCATCCAGCCTCTCCCCATCTCCTTCTCCTTTCAGAGCCATTCGCCATCACTCCCAAGAGCATCCCACCATGGTTCGCTGCCCATCACCACTTGGGTTGCAGGGATGCAGCAGCCCCAAGCCCCCTTGTCCCTCCTCATTACCCAGCCAGCACTGGGCTGCATCCCTGCTGGCACCTCCATCCTCCCGGACACGATCCCACTGTCTGAGAGGCGTGATGGGTTTGGACGGTGGGACCGCAGCAGCCACTGCTCCTTGCACACCAGTTGTGCCGGGCAGCGTTGTGCACAAGCAGTGCTTGAACCTGCAGGGCCGAGGAGGCCGTTTCAGCCACAAGATAAATGGATATCGTGGAGCAAGTGGCAATTAGCGAGGGTAAAGAGCCCCTTAGTGCCCGTCGCTGACAGAACACCTTTGTTCCAGGCCCTTCACTTCCTATCCCGGCTGTAAATAAACTTGACTCCCAGTTTGCCTGGCCCCCTTTGTTCCCTCTTTGTTAGGGGTGGATTCTTCTTTGAAGCCAGAAGAAGGAGCCGATTGTTCACCCGTGGGGAGGTGCAGCCCTTGGGGTGCTGCCCGGGGCACCGTTACCCCGCTCACCCCGAACTGGGCGCTGGCAGCAGCCACCGATGGAGCCACCCATGTGCCAGCACGGCAGGGATTTTAATTGCTGTGTCCCCACTGACGAGGCCTCATTAGGGTGCTGGCGGTGGATGGAGCCTCGAATGGGGCTTTGTGAGTGCAGTGGATGGAAGGTGGTGGGGGCTGGCAGAGGGGCTGAGCTCTGCCCCCCAACGTTTGGGGTCAGGGAGGCAGTTTGGGGACTCTGGAACGACCTCAGTGCAGGGATTTGTCTCTAATTCACACCATGTCCTCCCTGTCCAAAACCAGTGGGATCGTGTCCAGGAGGATGGAGGTGCCAGCAGGGATGCAGCCCAGTGCTGGTTGGGTAATGAGGAGGGACAAGGGGGCTTGGGGCTGCTGCATCCCTGCAACCCAAGTGGTGATGGGCAGCGAACCATGGTGGGGTGCTCTTGGGAGTGATGGTGAATGGCTGTGAAAGGAGAAGGAGATGGGGAGAGGCTGGATGAAGCCTGTGGAGATGTTTGTGGTTGGGAACCACCCTGGGATGTAAAAGACCAAAGGGCAGGGAGTAGCAATGAGCAGGCCAGGTTGGATGGGGCTTGGAGCAGTCTGCTCCAGTGGAAGGGGTCCCTGCCCATGGCAGGGGTTGGAGCTGGGTGAGCCCTAAGCTCCTTTTGACCCAAAGCAGGCTGGGATTTGACGCTGCCCTGCCTGCTCCATCCCCTGCAGCACGCGGCCTCCCTGCTCCCATCCCTGCCCTCACCCTCAGCGCATCCATGGGCGCCAGGCCCGAACGGGTGGGAAAAGGAAGGAGGAAGAGGAGGTGGGAGCATCCCGGGGAGCCCAGAGGTCGAGCTTATTGACAGAGAGCCTGTTGAATGGCGCGGGGGAACAATGCCAGCCCTCAGCCGGGCCAGTGGGGACTGTGTAAAGTGAGGGGCCGGCAGCAGCGGCCGCGGGGAAGCCCTCCAGGCGAGTGGCCTTTAGTGCTGTGTTTGCCTAACCCCTGACCCTCCCTTTAGGGCTCTAATTGAAATCCCAGCTTGGTGACAAATTGGCATGACCAGCGGGCCGGAGGCGAGCCTCGAAGGGAGGCCGGGAAGTGCTATCCCTGCTCCGGCAGGAGCCGACCCACTGCCCCTTCCTGGTGTGGCACGGGCCACCCCCAAAGTGCTTTACACCTGAGGTGAGGTGTTTGGATCAGCCTCTTCCTTCCTCTCACGGCACTGCCCGAAGGTGCCACCATGGCCACGATGCTTGAGCAGGCTCAAGGCTCCTTCAGAACCCCCCATTTGGGCTGAAGATGCTCTGATGCTCCATCAGCCCTTCACAGGCTG